AAAGCTAAATGCTTCAAAAAGCTAAATGCTTCAAAAAGCTAAATGCTTCAAAAAGCTAAATGCTTCAAAAAGCTAAAGTTGCACCAGTACCAAAAGCCACAGCAGGATTGTCCTGAAAGAGCCGAACGTTTTGATTCATGATTTGACGAAAGAGAAAATAGAAGAAAAATGGATGACGTAAACGGGACTCACTCTCGGAGCCGGGCTCCCTGGTTCTGCTGCCGGCTCTGGTCTGTCTCTGTCCCACGCAGCGCTGAGGGGAGCAGGAGAAGGTGCGTCTCCTCTGGCCCGGTCGGGTCCTCCGCGGCTGGTTCGGGTCGAGCTGGGGACCAACTGGGGGCTCCTGAGCTGTGTGGCTGAGCGACAGAGGGGGAGGAGCCAAAACTAGATGAGGTGAGGAGGCGTCTGCGTCCCGAGGAAGCGAGTCCCTGAAGGACAAATGTCCAACGAAGACAGGAAACGACCCGTCAGAAGCTCCAAACGACCGAAGGATCTCGCCTCATGTGCGCTTCACGGTAAATAAATAAAAAGCTGAGTCGGACTTCTCACCTCTCTGCCGCTCTCCGGTGGAGGAGACCCGGAGCTGCTGCAGGAGTCGGACGGCTGCTTTCAGAACCGACGAACCCGCTGTCCGTCTCAGGAGAGACGAGCCCGTCCTGGAAAACAGAAACACTCATCCTCCGCTCGGCTGCTCAGACAGTTATCGTGGAAGCCGTCAGTCACAACTTCAACTTTAAAATAAGTAATTTATCATGAATCATTTAAATTTAAGACAAAATGAACGACACAAAGACGAGTGAACGGATAAAATCAAGTTCTGCAAATAAACCGTTTCCTTGGTTTCCTTTCAGTACAAACAAGTGATTCATGGGCGCGTTCTGGTTCTTTTATGTTTAGCAGAACAATCAAGAGTCAGACAAACTTAATGGATACCAGAAAAATAGATCAACACCTTTAAGAAAGGCACTTTGTTCTGTTTGTTACAGTTTGACTCAACAATGAACCCGGGAACGACCAAAAACATCCAAACAGCCGGATGAGCTAAAAGAACCGTCTCCAATTATAAACGGGCTCGTAGTTGGTGGCAGTTGTTCAGGGCAGGGGTCAGAACGGACCTGAGGCAGGACCCTCCTGGTCCCGGTTTGAGCCTTGGAGCTCCTCCGGTCTGATGTGGTCTCAGCCAGGCTGCTCAGGCTGCTGCTGTGGGACCTTCTCAGCTCCAACCTCCGCCTGCTGCGAGCAGGAAGACCCGGAGCGACGGAGGACGGGCCGACCCGGGAGCAGGATCGCTGTTTTCTGGCGCAGACCGGAGAGTCCTGGTCCGACTCGACTCTCCTGCTGGAAACAAGAAGCGGGTCCAGTTAACGGGACTCGGGCAGAACTGACACCAGTTAAAAACATCAGACGTCACAGACTTCCTGTTCATTTCCCACAGCTTCACGGATGACATCAGAGCTGTTTGTTTGTCAACAGCAGCTTGTAAACAAACACGTCTGTAAACTGCAGTTTGTTTTCTCTGAGGACGAACCTCTGAGAGGGAGTTTTTACCGCCTGGTGGTTTCCTGTTCTTCGACGGCTCTGCTCCTCTTCCTCACTGCCCGGCTGCACCGAGGCCTTTAAATCAGGAGAGGAGGGAACAGGAGGAAGAGCCTTTGATCTTTGGAAGCAAAAGGAAAGAAACATTATTTATCTTTAAACAATTTAAAAACCCTGAAGATCCTCAAACAGTGACTGATGTTCACACTAGTTGAGTTGTGAGGGATTAAAAAAGTTTAAAGTATAAAAAACTCACAGACTTCCTGTTTTGGTCGAGTCCGAGTCAACGCAGGCGTTGGGTCTGTATGAGAACGATACGAGAGTTTCTTCATCCTCCTCCTCCTCCTCCTCGGTCTTCTCCCGGGCTGAGCTCGGCTCTGCAGGATCAAACGGCGCCGGCAGAATCTGTGACGAGACCAAGTAAAAACACAACAACCTGTATTTAGTTACATTTTTAACACGATGCAGTCTAAATGTGTTTATAAAACCTAAAGGTGGAAGGGTGATCATGTTTTTACAGCGTGTCTTTCTTTGTTAGCAAAATAAATCATGAACAGCAGAATGAGTTCTATGGAGACTTGCAGGAAGTTTTCATCGGGTTGAGATGGCTGCATCAAAGATATCCCCCTATAAAAAAGGCTATAACTCAATATACAGACATTGAGGTAGAACTTGTGGTGGTAGTAGCTGAGACTGATCCTCAACGTAACCTGAGGGCTACCGGATCACGCAGGGCCTCGTCATGAGACTGTCCAAGTTCTTTTTGAGGTTTGAACAAAACGGTTCTGTCATTTCTCGACATGCAGTAAAATGATTTGAGGTCAAGATTCTGGCATGACTATTCCTTTAAGGGTTGCAGGATTATTTAATCCCAGAATGTAAAGACGAAGGTTGGACCTGTGGACGAGTGACAGTTGGTTCCTCCTCTGACGATGAAGAGGATGGAGGTGGAGGAGAGGTTTGCTGCTCCTTCAGCTCCTCCACACGCAGCTCGCACTGGAAGATCAGACCCCCCAACTCCCTGAGAGCATCACAAACGTTCAGAACATCAAGAACTTTAATCCACGAACAGAACAAGCAAAATCTGGTTTAATCTGGTTCACCGTTCGGCGTCGAACCGGCAGTCTTCGGCTCCTCGCTGCTGAAGGAGTTTGTGCTCGTCGCAAGCTAAAAGGTAGCTCCTTCCTAAAGAGTTCAGCTCCTCAGAGAGCTGAGAGACACCCTGAAGAGTCATCAGATTAACGAGAATAAACATGGCTGAACTGCTGGGATTACATCTTAAACTCAGATTGTTGTTCTTACCTCCGTCTTTTCACAAGGTGACAGTTTTTCACTCCTCAGGAGATCCTCAAAGGATTGCAGCTGATAAAAATAATCCACATTTTCTGTAGATTTTTTTAATCCCTCCATCAGATGTTGATAATTTTAATCTGAGTTTGAGTTCCTGTTACCTGCTGCAGGAACGTCTCAGTCTGCCTGAGCAGCTGCTCTTCCAGCGGGGGCCTTGAAGGATCTGAGATTCCAGCGGAGAGTTATTGAAAATAATCGCCTCACGACAAAACGAACGTTACGAGAGTCTGAAACTTTACCCTGAGGAACGCCGTTTGGACCAGGACGACCCGGCAGAACCTCCGCCCTCTGAGCCGCAGCCAGATCCAGCTCCAGGAACTTTGAGGCGTGGTGGTTCAGTCCTGAACGAACCGAGGCTCTGGTCTCTGGAGGGTCAAAGTTCAGGTTTACCTGAGGGACGCCAGAAAACAAAGCACACGATTGACAAGGTGTCTGTTAGCAAAATATCTCATGAACAACTGGACTTAATAGATGAGCAGCTGATTGACTTTAAGAAGGAAAACTTTGAGGCGTAGCGATCGGCTGGATTTGTGTGGTTCGTGTTTTTTCTACATTCTTCTGAGTGTTTCATCCTTTAGGACGTTTCCTGCGTGGGTTTTCTTCAACAACAAACATTTTTCAAACTTGCACCATTTCTGCTCTGAAAAGGCCGAATACGAGCCGGAGAGCACGAACAGCTTCGGTTCATCTTAACCCAAAAGAAGAATCCGACGAACATTGAAAAGCTGCGAGGAACGGCTCCTGATCCAGACTAAATCACATCTTGTGTCACAGAACACGGGGATTTTAATAAGAAGTATGTTTCTGATTAAAGAAAAGTTTGGGGTTGTAAATGTAAAGGAAGTGAACTGAACGTGGAGCCAGACGGTGCTGACGGAGGAGCCAGAAACAATCAGTTCACTTTTCAAACTCCTGCCTCTGAGCGCGTTTCCACTGATGTCGTTATAGTTTTGCGTTCGTCTGGATCGAACTGGTTCAGTCCGGCTCCCTGACGAGAGGCGAGCTGTGGACGTTCAGTTCTGCCCGTTGCACCCAGCCACACCTGACCCGCTGGCCCACAAACCAACTAGATGTAAATAGTTCTTCCCGTCTTGCTAGCGTCTGCTCATTCACTTCCTGTCTGAGCAGCAGATCATTCACTTCCTGTCTGAGTGTCTGATCATTCACTTCCTGTCTGAGCAGCTGATCATTCACTTCCTGTCTG